GGAGTGCTCCCTACACTGTGGTCGTCTCCCTGATGGGACAGAGCTCTGGGACACTTACTGCGGTTGTCACACTTGCCCAGACTGCACAGTCTTGTCTGGATGGAAGGGCCCAGGCAGGTGTTGCTGGTGACGTCACATGACCGCCCTCTCTGCTGGGTCCCTGAGCCACAGGTGGCAGAGCACTCGGTCCACTCTGCCCAAGGAGACCAGCCCTCGTCACTGTCATCAGCTAAGGTTAGAGGAAACACAGCGTTATTAGATATTACCATCTGCGTCATGGTCTGTGTCCCTAAGCAACCCGACCAATGCACAGCAGCTCCCGAGTGGAGAACGCATGCTGCTCTGCAGTCCCAGTGTGCAGCTTTCTGGAGAGCGAGCGGCTCATCAGCGGACAAGTCCATGGTGTCCTAGTAGCTCAGCTGCTACCTGCCAGCGTGCAGTAGACAGCAGTGGGTTGGTGAAGACCACATACTTACCATGCATGGGAATGGAAGGTCCATGTTCTAAGGGTTAGAGGTGACTAGTTCTCTAGGACCAGAGAAGTTGCTTCTTGAAAAAATATGTATCTTACAAAAGACTGCATTGAACCATGTTTACATAAGGTCTTATTGAAATCATTCAGATTTATTTTCATTTTAAGATTTCTTGGTTATGGTAATGGACTACTTCAGTGATGGGTGAGAATACAGGACACCAATATTGGGTTCTAAATAATCCAAAAGGGGTTAAATAGGAAGACCATTTTTAACGGAAAAAAATATTCACAATTACTATCCCTGAAGGTTGAAAATGATTGTGCTTTATTGCAAGAAATCTACCCAGTAAATAGTGAAACAGTTATTTTATGATAGCATTCAGGTAGCAAAGACCCCACTATAAACCTAGGAGTGCCCTGTGATTGAATGCTGCAGAAGCAGAAGGAGGAGACTAGTCAGAGAGGGCTGTCTTCTGTGTGGCGATGCCCACAATGACATCTCTCGTCTGAATGCGGGCCCTCAGATGATCAGAATGAATTGTATGCTATCCAATGGACAATCCATTTTGTGAATATTTAACACGTTTGACAAGCACTTGCCTGTACTTTGCAATATCAATTATACTGACAAAGTCAACCCTCAGAAGAGAGGGTAGCTATCTTGCATGTTCCCAATACTGAAGCCGGAACTAAGAAAACAGCAGAAAAGCTGAAAATCTGGGAGTTCTGACTTTAGCCACTCTCCATTCAACCCAGAGAGGAGCATACAGTGGAGGACATACATGTCAGAGCCACCACCAACAGGACGATGGCTTTGCCAACCTTGTGCCCCCATCAGACGTGAAACTCAAGTGGGTCTTCAGGCCCGTTCACGTGTCTGTTTGATTTTCCCTCATCTTTCTTCCATGGGAAGTGCCTACGATGGTTACACATTGCCTTGATACATTCATAGATCTAAGTTGGCGCCACTGGTTTGTATTCACCACTAGGGTTACGCTGATTGTTGCTTTGAGCCCAGTAGTGGTGTAAAGAAGGACTTGCAATCTGCCCTGTAGATATTTCAGCCAAGAAAGCCCTACGGAGCTCAGGTCTACTCTGTAGAGTGCGGGGTCACTGTAAGTCAATGCCATCGACTTGATTTTGGAACCCTTATAGATATGTAAAGGACTGCTAACCATATAAGGCTCAGAAACACTATGCAGGGTCACTGTGAGTCAAAACCTACTTAACAACAACAACATGGGCATGAGGACAGCATTCTTTCTTTGTATATAAAATCTTGGGCAAACTGTGGACACACTGGGGTTTGGTCCCTTATGTGTAACATGACACGAGAGGACTGGAAGCCACACAGATACCTGAACTTCTAGGGTGTACAAATGTCTTCCAAGTGGTCACTTTGGTACTGAATTGCTCTGCATCTTTCTCATCTATTGTATCCATGGGTCAAAGCCTCAATTGTACCTGTCTGTCGACACAAACCCATAAATGAAAGAAATCATCAGGATCAGGAGACACTCATGTTTCTGATAGTTCTGAGGGTACTTACAGCGGAAGCAGGAAGGGCAGCATTCTCCCTCCACGAAGAATGGATCTGCACACGTCACTGGTGGGCAAGTGATTTGGTGGCAAACAGTTTTAAATTTCTACAGGTAAACAAACGAATTCATAGAGCACTCATTAAAAATAATAATCTTTGTGAAAGATGGGGACAAAGACTGACCAGAAAAGCGTTAATAACATGGCTATAACGTCATCTGTCACCCACTGATTTTACACAGTTAGAACCTGAGAGACTGGACAATTGAGTCATCTCTTTCTGTCCTTGGTGCTCAGAGCTGAATGCAAACAGGGACACCCAAGATGGACCTGCGTACCTCCTTCCTCCCGTTCTCCAATCAAGTGAGCCATGGGAACACAGCAAAGACCACCTTCTCTCTTAGTGTAAGAGGAGGTGAATGGTGGACCCTGGAAACCTGAACTGTTGGATGTAAACTGGGAACTGAATAACATTAAGTCAACAGAAGCCACTAGCTCATCTCCCTAAATCATTTAGTAGGCCTTTGCATTTCCTCAATTGTTTCTGCTGAGCCTTGGTGGCAACAGAACCAAGCGTAATAAAACACTGAACACACCAGCTGTGTGACTTTGATTATGTCACTTGTCCTCTGGATTTTGTTTGTTTTTTTATGTGCAAAACAAAGAGGTTACTTTAAGCCTCTGTCTCCGTGGTCCTGTCTCCTAGGACTGTGATATTGACATCTAAATACATTTTTCATGTAGCCATTAAACAGCACCAGCATGTAGGCACAGATGTGTGGAGTTCCACGTGGCGGCACAACGACCACAGCACACACGTCTTCTTGCACAGCAGGAACATAAAGTCTGGCACCTCACCTTGCAAGTGCACGTGGTACAGCTGTCTACCACCCATGTCTCGTTGTCTGCGAAGATCCGGCCATCCTGCCAGCACACTGTCACATTCTTGGTCTTTGCAGGGCCACCAATAAGCTCCCAGAGGAACTGGTTGTCATTTGACTGGAATTTTAAGTTGAATGATGAAGTATAGACAAGAACACACTACACCAAATCATCACATTCATCAGAGAACAAGTCGACCCAGAATCCACTGGTTGTGTGGTTTCTGCAATTGGCATGGACATGGGAGAGAACAACGAGGTGGATGTCTAATCTCTCAAAACCCTGTGCTCACTGACCACAACCAGATGGTCTCCTCCCTAAGTGCAAATTAGCATCTGTTTGTAGAGGCTGATGGGGTCCCACATGTCTTCAGTGGGTCCCTACTGAGTTGTTCCAGCCCCAGAGGGTGAAGTTAAGCCTTCTAGTGTCCCTGGGGTGCAGGATGGTGGTGGGAGAAGGAGCATGGCAAACTGGTCAACTGCAGCTGAGACTAAGGCCCCCATCCATGCAGCCCACTCATGTTCTCCCTTACTCACTCAAGACAGGAGGAACTGTCAGTGGGTTAAGTGTTGGGTGACTAACTAAAAGGTTAATGGTTCAGACCCACCAGCCACTGCATGCGAGAAAGATGAGGCTGTCTGTTTCCATAAAAAATGTACAGCCTCCGAAACCCAATGGAGCAGCTTTATTGTGTCTTATAGAGGTTTCTCCCTTCCTCCTCCTGATCTCCATGCCTTCCTCCTCCTGTTCTCCATCCCTTCTTCTCCTGGTCTCCATCCCTTCCTCTCTCCTGGTCTCCATCCCTTCTTCTCTTGGTCTTCATCCCTTCCTCCTCCTGGTCTCCATCACTTCCTCCTCCTGGTCTCCATCCCTTCCTCCTCCTGGTCTCCATCACTTCCTCCTCCTGGTCCCCATCACTTCCTCCTCCTGGTCTCCATCACTTCCTCCTCCTGGTCTCCATCCCTT